ATTTAGCATGTTTCCCTCTTGGTCTGTCTTGTTTTATCTCACCTAAAAAAGGGGTTAGATTAATGAGTGAATTAAAAATACTTTAGGTTATAGAAATTGAATTAATACAAACAAAAACGGGCTGTTACTTTTCACGTCGAGTTTGAAAGCCTTGAAACTTTTATAATTAACTCTGAAGTCCGACCGATTGAGCTTCGTTTCGACTCCCTGCAGCGAGTCTGAGATGTCTGATAATTATGTTTGATAATTACGGGCTCCGACTCTAATTTCGGTCTAGCTCACAGTTAATTCACTTTATCCCCTCGTCAATACTTCATCAACAAAAACCAGGACAACCTGAGTGGATTTGATCCGTCTTCAGTCTTTATTGTCCCAGTTAAAGGTGTGATTACAGGAAATTTAGTGTCAAAGTGGTGAAGTACTGAATGGTGTAATTTTGTTAGCAAACTGCCACAAACCAGTGGATTAAAGAAACTTTCAGAAAATAATCGTTAGATGTACGCCTAAAGCTGACTACCTGTTGATTTGGTAAGTTATACAGATATTGAGCTACAGTGTTCACTTCCAGTTCTTACTCTGCTGTTGATGAGGGACAGACTGACTGAGAGCATCGTGGATTATTAGCTGAGTAGATTTGTTTTCAGCTTTCACGGAGGGAGATTTTATTATGTAGCCAATGTTGTAGCCTCGGTCCACATTTCTGTTTTTTCTCTGGTTAATGGCGGTGTTTCAGGTTACTCAACAAGTTTGTAATTTTAATGAAGCTCTGCATTAGCTCCACATTAGCATTAGTATTTTCGCCAAGTTAGCACCACATAATGTCAACTTTACATTAGTTACACGTTAGCGTTAGCTTTAGTGTTAACTCTGTATGTTAGTTCCACATTAGCATTAGCATTTTCGCCAAGTTAGCACCACATAGTGTTAGCTTTACATTAGTTACACGTTAGCTTTAGTATTAGCTTTAGTGTTAGCTCTGTGTTAGTGTTAGCTCCACATTAGCATTAGCATTTTACCAAGTTGGCACCACATGCTGTTAGCTTTATGTTAGTTCCACATTAGCATTAGTGTTAGCCCTGTGTTAGCGTTAGTGTTAGCTGTGCATTAACATTAGCTTCTGGCTAGTGTTTGCTCCCTTATAACGTTAGCCCTGCGTTAGTGGTAGCTCCAAATTAGCATTTGCTGTACGCTAATATTAGCTCTTTGTTACCTTTAGTGTTATTTCAGCATTACTATTAGCTCTATATTAGCATTGGCATTGACACTGCATAATTATTAGCTCGACTAGACTGTTAGCTCTGTGTTAGCGTTAACATTAGCGCTTGATTTGTCTCTAAAGGCAGTAATCACAAAGTGCCAAGTATTAATACGTGACAGTTTTTCTGATGAAGTTGCACAGAATATGATTTTGCCCAACACTAGTGCCTATTGATTGCACTTAATTTGGCGATATGCATTCCTTCAAGGCCTGCTAGTTTAATTTGATGTCATCAGGTTGTGAAAAGGACTTATTTACCTGGTTAATTGAGGCTTAGTTGGTAAGATGGCTAATTTTTGCTTATTGTCAAAGGTCAGACTGGTTTGATTTTTATTTTTTGTTTTTACATTGTTTTAATGTCTCTAGAATGCAATAACTTCAACATGTTTAATTATTTGAATGTGAAGAGTTTTCTCATCAGGTGAAGCCGTGGAGTTAAGCTCCTTCGGATTAGTTGTCGTCACACAACCGCTATCCTTGACGGCGGTTTTTAATTTTGTACCTGAGGGATTCTGGGTTATTAATGCTTGTGAGGAAATTAAAGTTTAATGTGCGAGCGTGAAATTTATCCTCGTGAGAAGAAAAATCGTTTCTGGTTCACGCTCGGTTGTCAAGGTAAACAAGGTAAAGGGCTTTGTACCCGTGCCGGGGAAGGTTTTGTATGAAAAATGGTCTCATTTGTTTCTACGGTTTAATGTGCAGAAAATGACTGTTTACAGAAGAATTTCACTTTCAACAGGAAGAACGTAGAATTAGCACAGCACAATGGAGCAATGAACACTCGGCTGAATTAGCCAATAAGCTGGTCTGTAGGTCAGATTTTACTTTATTTATGTGACTTTTCTCATTTATCTCATTTCTTTGTTTAAATCTTTACTCAGTTTTTTTGGTTTTCTTCACAGCTGCTGCTATTTTCCTCCCATCTTCAGTAAAAAGGTGGACTGTGGGGTCAAGGTTGGTGTCAGAGAGTGAGATTAGAGCCAAATAGAAAGAAAATAAATGGAGTAAAACGAACGAACAAAAAAGAGAATGAGTGGTAGTTTATTAGGGAAGAGTGATGGAGATATTTAGGGCCGTATGTTCTGGCTTACTGACAGTCTTATTGGCCATTAAGATTAAAGAAGCGTCTCATTTTTCTCGTGTTCGACCCGTCTTTTCCACTTCCTCGCGCCACTATAACTCTCCTCCTCGTCTTAATTCCTCTTGTCATTTCCTTCCCCCGCCCCCCTCCATCCCGTCCCGTCCTGCAGCCGTCATATTAATCATGTCCCTCAGTCGTGTTTCTGCAAGCATTTTATTTTCTCGCAACAATCGCTGTGAAATCAAAGCCGAGCAGCCGAGCGTATTGTTTGACAAGCTTTTGCTTTCATGAAGCTTTACTGCAATCCGGTGCAGTGTCTTGTCCCACTTTTTTTTTACATTTCAGAAAATGACAGGGTTTCCTATTCCCTGAGGAAAATGTTGAAGTTTTTAATTTTTCATTTAACTTTTATAAACTGAGGAGATAAAGTAGTTTAGTGAATAGACGGAATAGTAAAAAGCTAAGTAAATCATAAAATCACAATGTTTTTCTTCTGCAATGTTGTAATTATTGTCTTATTGAGATATATATACCAACTTACTGTGGTATATACCAACTTACTGTGGTATATACTAACTTACTGTAGTTCATATACCAACTTACTTTGGTATATACCATCTTACTGTAGTTCATATACCAACTTACAGTGGTATATACCATCTTACTGTAGTTCATATACCAACTTACAGTGGTATATACCATCTTACTGTAGTGAAGGGCTGGACGATATAGCTGAAAAATGTATCACAATAGTGGTGTGTTCCATCTTATTGCGGTATATACTAATTTTTGTGTACGCCAAATTAATCCTGTGTGTATACACCATTGGATGGATGGATGGATGGATGGATGGATGGATGGATGGATGGATGAATGGATGGATGGATGGAAGGGCAGACGGATGGATGGATAAACGGTTTGTTGGATGGATGGATGGATGGACGGACGGATGAATGGATGGATGAATGGAAGGGCAGACAGATGGATGGATGGATGGATGGATGGATGGAAGGGCAGACGGACAGACGAATGGATGGATAGATGGATGGGTGGATGGATGGATAAATGGTTGGTTGGATGGATGGATGAAAAGGCAGACAGATGGATGGATAGATAGATGGATGGGTGGATGGATGGATAAATGGTTGGTTGGATGGATGGATGAAAAGGCAGACAGATGGATGGATNGATGGATGGGTGGATGGATGGATAAATGGTTGGTTGGATGGATGGATGAAAAGGCAGACAGATGGATGGATGGATGGATGGGTGGATGGATGGATGGATGGAAGGGCAGACAGATGGATGGATGGGTGGATGGATGGATGGACGGATGGATGGAAGGGCAGACAGATGGGTGGATGGATGGATGGAAGGGCAGACGGACAGACGGATGGATGGATGGGTGGGTGGATGGATGGAAGGGCAGACGGACAGACGGATGGATGGATGGGTGGGTGGATGGATGGAAGGGCAGACGGACAGACGGATGGAGGGATGGATGGGTGAGTGGGTGGATGGGTGGATGGATGGATAAATGGTTGGTTGGATGGATGGATGAAAAGGCAGACGGATGGGTGGATGGATGGATGGATGGATGGACGGAAGGGCAGACGGACAAATGGATGGATGAATGGGTGGGTGGGTGGATGGATGGATGGATGGGTGGACGGATGGATGGAAGGGCGGACGGATGGATGGAAGGGCAGATGGATGGATGGATGGATGGATGGATGGATGGATGGATGGATGGACGGAAGGGCAGACGGACAAACGGATGGATGGATGGGTGGGTGGGTAGATGGTTGGATGGATGGATGAAAAGGCAGATAGATGGATGGATGGATGGATGGATGGATGGATGGATAAATGGTTGGTTGGATGGATGGATGAAAAGGCAGACGGATGGATGGATGGACGGATGGATGGACGGATGGATGGATGGATGGATGGACGGATGGATGGATGGACGGATGGATGGATGGATGGATGAATGGATGGATGAAAAGGCAGACGGATGGATGGACGGATGGACGGATGGATGGATGGATGAATGGATGGATGAAAAGGCAGACGGATGGATGGACGGATGGACGGATGGATGGATGGATGAATGGATGGATGAAAAGGCAGACGGATGGATGGACGGATGGACGGATGGATGGATGGATGAATGGATGGATGAAAAGGCAGACGGATGGATGGACGGATGGACGGATGGATGGATGGATGAATGGATGGATGAAAAGGCAGACGGATGGATGGACGGATGGATGGATGGATGGAAGGA